TACAGGCCAGGCGGCTCATAGGCTTTTGAGGGGAATTCATGACAAGGTATTTTGCTACCTGCTTGTGATATTACAATTGCTCATATTTTATTGATTTACTCCTAAACCGTTTTCACATTTTAGCTCTGCCTTTCTTATTTTGAAGTTCTTGTTATGTTCTTTCTCAGTAATTTTGTTTGAGCAAGTTTTATTCTTTCTTTTCGCACACTTTGCACAAGCCAGGGCCCACGGGAACTGCTGTACTTTTTGAGATAGAGGTGAGATCTGCGTTCACCCCACCCCCTCATACCTCACTTCACCTCAACTCCGGGTGGGATATACTGGGTTTATTTGGTTTATGTTTTCTTACATGATGTACGCCTGTATTGCAAATGATTGTATTGTGTTTGAACAAAACCGTTTGTGATGCTAGGGTCATGCTGTCACAAGGAATCTGAAATCAGATGGTCAAGTGGAAACAATGCAATTGTTGCACAACATCAATGAAGGTATTACCTATTATTTGTTTTATATTGTAATTAATGCATTCAGAAGAATATATAACATCAAGTAACCATACTTGTTGGTATTGGGCTTGTGTCAGATGAGCTTGCTGGCTTTGAAGAGACATGGAAAGGAAAAGCTAGAAACCATCTGCCTGGCTGGACTGGTGGAGCTAGTTCTCATGAAGGTAACACAAGTAGAATATTCTTGTTTTTGATATATATATATATATAGAGAGAGAGAGAGATAGAGAGAGAGAGAGAGAGAAATAATCAGCACTTTGGTTTGCTGTCTTAGGGTTGGGTGATGCAAGCAGCAGGAGCAGGGGTGGGTGGGCACTGCCTTCAAGTGGTGCAAGTAGTCCATCACACATAGGTGTGAGAAGGAGAGCAGAAGGTGGTGAGCATGGTCAATCATCATCAAAGCAGCTCAGGAGACGTTGAGACTGCTGCCATGTTTTCGAGATGAAAGAACGTAATAATATGTTTGCTCAACTGTTACCTTCTGCAATTATGTTTCGTGTTTGTTGTCATGCTTTTTCAGTTTAGTAGCTTTGTACATTGTTAAAAAAATATTTAAATATTGGTAGTAGCTTTAAATCATAGATCACTAGGATATTTCAAAACCTGGAACCAACCTGTTAGTACAAGTATCTTAAGATTATTATGAATTTGTTTTTATTCGAAGGTGTTGATAAAAAACATATGATGTTCGATGTCCTTCGAGTTTTGTATCGAGGAGCATACATCAATGTGTTACTTGGTAGTGGCTTGGAGTTTTGTAGAAACTCGATTTGTAAAGTGGATGGTCAGCGTTGGAGGTCAAAAGTTAATCGATTCCAATTTAGAAATGATGCAACACAGTTGTAACTAATCAACATTTTGTTTGAAGAGTTTGAACTCAGTAAGATAAAATACATGATCTCAAACTTGAGATTTCTTGCACAATAGACAACCATTTAGACTCTACTTATCAAAGGAGATTATTGTGTTACTCAGCTTCATAGTAAATCAATAGGATAGTTTTTAGATGTTCAATTATAATGTATAAGTTTGAAATGTTGGTTTACCTTAGCACTTACCCAGTAAGCGTTTCTCGATAAAAGTCTAGCACTTAGTCTTTAGTCCATTAAAACGGCATCGTATGTAACAATTTATTTGGAAAGTGTTTACGGGTAAAAGCTGTTATTCACACTTACTGGATAAGACTGTTGGTTCTGTTATTATTCTTACTGGATAAGATTCTCAATTCTTGTCATGTTCATCTAATAAGATAAAGTGATCCGATTAGCAATTATCAAGTAAGCATTTGGTAAACAACCCCTAAGTTTCAAAATCCTAACAAATCTCATGTAGTATTGTGTTACTTGATGCAGGCTCGAGAGATGTAGGCCTTGTTTACAAATCTCTTGCCATCTCTTACCGGAGAAGATCTCTTATTCGGATAAAGGTGAGAGCATTTACCAAACAAGAAAATATATCTCTTGCCTTTGACCATGCTCTGATTGGAAACAAAGAAACAATCATGTCTTACTCGAGTCAAATAAGTGTGTCAAACATCATTAAAACAACTCATGTTTTAATCCAACAAAACTATATTTTATTTAAAAATTAAACAAAAAAAAAAAAAAATACAAAACTGCTTATAAATTAACTCAACAAATGAGGTATGTCCCATTTGAAGAGTGAATATGCGATTTGGGTGGTAATAACTGTGTCTTTTATGTGTTTTTTTTTGTTGATTTGTCAAAAACACTTCTTCTTTCCAAAAAAACATCTTAGAATGAATCTTGATTGAATTACTTGGACCATTTCCTATACCATCTTTATCAAACTTAAATACCAATCGTCAAGGCCTTACCCCCCTTTAGCCGTTTTTTATTACCGATGCATATGAACGTATTGTTGCTTCACCCGAATGTCATTCATCTTTATATTTTTTTGTTGGTTCATTTCCAACGTCAAGAAAACAACCTCAAAGCCTCTTTTACAATTATCCTTCTTTAAAAGACGAGAAAAAATGAAAATACTAAGAAAGTTCAAGTGAAACATATATGAAGGGGGGAAGGTGGGCGCTTTAGAAGATTTAAAATACAACATATTTTATCTAATTTATGTTAGAACTTGGTTTAATAATGACAAACCTTGTCCCACGTAGGAGAGCCAAAAAAAACTTAATTTACTTTATATACACCAACATTTGAGCATTAAATGAATTATTTAAAAGCTTGGGCCTTGATGTGTGGTGTTTCATGGTGAGCTCTCTTTGATATATAAAAACTCTTTGAGATTAGTTTTGGCGAATTTTTTGTCTTAGGACACTGCGAATGTCCAGGCCCCCATCGGACATAGATTTGTATTATAAGTTTACGTTTTTGAATAAGAATCCTTCGTTTATCCTATAAAAATTTTTCATTTTATATACGTCTTTTTGTTTTGGATTGATTACTCCTAACAATTTATATTCTATATGATGCATATTTCAAAATTTTATTTTAACACTTGGAATATGATATACGACAAAATACGTTTCATAAAATTCATTGCGTTTTTTTAATGTATTTTCTTATGTAAACTAGTTTGCTTAAATACCAAAACTAATGTTTTGTAATTAATTACGCAAAACAAAAATGGCAATAAATCATGGAAACATAAAGCTAAAATGATCTGCCGGTGTGCGTTCCATGACAAGTATTGCGTTTGATTCCTGTACTTAGGGGTGTAAATGATACGAGACAACTCGCGAGCTACTCGAGATCGACTCGGTCAAAACTCGGTCAACACTCGACTCGAATAGGCTCGGCTCGAACTCGAGCTCGTCTCGATATATTAACGAGTCGAGTCAAGCTACACAGTACTCGACTCGAAAAGCTCGTGAGATACTCGATTATCTTATATATAATTAGTTTTAAAATATAATCAATTTTTATGATAAAATTTGTAAAATATAAATAATAAAAATGTCCTACATTTTTAGATATTTAAACAAAATTATGCATTTTTTAATTATAAAACAAATCAATTATTATTTTTATTAAAATCAAAATTAAAAAAAAAAAGACAAAGAAAAACTATAAAAAAAGGTTAGTGAAATTGTCCCACATTGGAAGAAAGATGGTAAAGGAAGGGAGAAAAAATGTTATAAAATGATAGGGAGGTGAATGTAATTTCTAACTTTGTCTTTTCGATGATGAAGTTTGAAGTTGATCATTTAGTTTTGTAAAAACTAAAAGAACACATTTAAGTTTTAAAATTTATAAGAGAAAAATCCTAAAATTTCATAAATTTGAATGGGTGAGCTTGGTTCGAGTTCGAGCTCGAGTTTGAGCTTGATTCGAGTTCGAGCTTGATTCGAGTTCGAGTTCGAGCTTGAGAAATAGTTATCGAGTTCGAGTCGAGCTTTGATTTTTACTACTCGCGAGTTTTTGAGTCGAGTTCGAGCTTGGAAATTTGGTTTCGAGTTCGAGCTCGACTCGCATCATTTACACCCCTACCTGTACTTGGACGTTTTCTAGTTTAGCTAACCACTCGATGGCGGCAATCAGAACCACCGCCACAATCTTCGGTAGAGAAATATTCCGATCGTCGACGTCATTGACCTTGATCCGCACGCATGCTCTTCGCATCCCTACTCGCTTTTCCTTCATTTCCCGTTCAATCAGCTACACTCCACTCCGATGTGCGGCAGGATCAGATTCCGGCGGCGGCGGCCGTAACAAGGCTTCGGCACGGATGTCGCAAGTTCAGCAACTCTTGCACGACGCTAAGGAGAGATCTGCCGGCCGGGATGAACCTATCCCAAAGATTACTCTAGGTATAACTAAGCAAAAACATCGGAAGTTCTAAATTCAGTTGACAATGAATTGTTTCTGCCTTTTCTATTTATGTTATTGATTTAGTTGAATTTATAAACAAATTTGTTGGTCGAGTATGTTGTAATGTCGAACCTGCTTATCATTGAATTTTGCCTTTGAATTTGTTTGTGCAATGATGCGTAGACTCCCAAAATGACAACCTGCTAGCTAGTTGGACCGAATTGGATGTCGGCTTTAATAAGTAAACTCGAAATAAGTAGAACGTGCCCTTCTTTTTCTTTTTATTAATCTGGATGGAGTTTTTAATGGCAGATGTTGCCGTTGCTAAAGCAACCAGACTGATTTGTCTTCAATTAGCTCTTATGCTAGAGTAAGTTTGCTATGGCTGAAGCCTCAAAGAACTACAAAATACGTATATTCATATGACAGAAGATTTGAAGGGCATAATTGCTGCATTATGTGGAGAACTAGGTAAGGGTTGACCCCAAGGCTCCTTAACTTTGTGAATTTGGGAAGGGAAGTTTCTGTACATAGCTTTTACTTTTCATTTTGCAAAGAGGTTTACTGGAACCAGTGACCTATGGGGGATTAGATCAGCCGAAGTACTTGTTTATGAAAGAGTAACCTCATCTATGTGATGATCTCACATGACATACTGTAAGACCAAGCATGAAGTGGATGAGCCATATATATATATATATATATATATATATATATATATATATATATATATATATATATATATATATGGCACACACTTTCTGTTCAAGGTTTTTATGCCTTTAGTATCCATATGTCAAATGGTTAGTTGCCCTGATGGAGCTATTCAGGTGTACATTTTCTTTGAATTTTGACCCCAGACAGAAATCTTCTTGGAGTCTAATATTTCTTTTGCCTCCATGTAGCTGCTTCTCTATGTTCTATAGACCTCTAACTGGCAAAATAAGACATTTTCAGGGAAGTATATGTTCTGTTGTATATGAGGCGTGGAGTTGCAATTTCTTGCTTGGTTTATTTTTTGTTACTTTTATTGTTCCAAAAAGGCCAGCATTTGACTTGGCACGTAATCTAATATAAATATTTGATTAGTAGTTAAATATCTAAAATCCACCTCAATAAGAAAAAAACCTGTGGACCAAAATTGAAGTTACTATCATCATGTAAAGATTATTAACAGGCAAAAAGAAGTTTTGGATTGAAAAGTTAACAGAAGATAAAAAAGTGTTGAATATTTTTTTAAGCCAACCCAAAAAAGAAATTGCTGCATTTTCTTGAAGGGGGGGGGGGGGGGGGGGGGGAAGGCATATATCATGACTGTAGTCAAGGAAGTAAACCATTTTAAATAGATTTGTCCTTGGAGGGATTATTCTTGTTAAGTTGTCACACCTCTTTCAAACTGTCGGTGTTGGTTAATTATTTTAGTTTTTTTTCATAGGAATAGTTGTTTAACTTTCTTTTCCTCATTCCTTATGGCGATTTTTTGCCACTTATCAGCTAGCAGCCTCTTTATAGTTTTTGTAGAAGAAAATACAACCACAATGACATAGGTTATGTTAAATACTGATACCGGCTCTATTGATCCCTATGTATATTTGCTTCAGGTGCAAGCCTTTTCTCATAACTTCCATTTCTGTTATTTAGATCACGTCAGTGTGAGCTTTGCTAGGAGTGGTGGGCCTGGAGGTCAAAATGTTAATAAAGGTTTACTATCTTCCAGTTCTTTGGAATTGATTGTGTTTAGCTTTGCAACCTTACTCCTTTCCTCCTTTTTTTCATGCCAAAATTTATGTTTGACAATTTAATCATTTTGTTTGAAGTGAACACCAAGGTTGATATGCGGTTTAACATAAAAGAGGCATATTGGTTAAGTGAAAGGGTGAAAGAGAAGATTTTGCAGATGGTTAGTTTGCTGTTACTCTTCTAACCGTTCCTTTATATATGATACTGTGATTGTTGCTTCTTGGAAGTCAAAATACTATCATGCCATGCCTTTTTATGCTAATTTTAAGGCCATCTATGCACCTAAAGATGGTTCCCATGGCAGATGTATATTATGTTGTGACAATTACTGATTTGCATATAATTTCTTCACTTCCTGATGTAGTTGCTATTTACGGTTATAGATGTGAGTGTACTGTGTACCTTCTCTTTGCATCACAACATGATTTTGGTTTCAACCAACCTACTCTTGGTCCTTTGGTCCAAATGCAATAACCGGTCTTGGTCCTAATCGGTTCTCCTTGGGCCCGGTCCTGGGTGGGCCTTGTCTAGAAATTTTTGTATTTCTTATCAAATGTCATGCATATATATATATATATATGGATGTATGTATATTTATATGTGTATATGATTGTATTAATGTGTACATATGTGATATGTAAAACCAAACCAAATGGGTCCACTAAATCTCCCTTGAAAGTAGGGTGGGGGTGAGATGTACACAAACTTGACCTCTACCCCAAAGAGTAGAGAGGTTGTTCCTGAAGACCCCCTGACATGTGAGCAAACAGGTAGCAGACATAGAGATTAGCATATAGTGTACGAAGCACGAGAAAGTAAGTTAGAAAATTAATGAATAGGTACAACGAAAGCACACAAAAGGTAAGGCAATGCAAAACCCACACATAGCAAGCAAAGCAAAAAGCCTAAAACACATCCCCAACCTGAACTGCCAGCCCTTTACCCCCCCTCTCTACCTGTCCAATTCCCTTTTGCCCAACTATACTAGCTATAGGTCCCCACCATGTCCACCTGGTTTGCTATCCTAGTCCTTCCGTTTCTAAGTACTTCTATCAGAGGCCAAGGAAAAATAAAGGCCACCATGTCCACCTCAATTGCTCATCCACGTCCTCCTTAGCCTTCCCCTCCTCACCCCCTCAATTGTCACTCTTTTCTAGTTTCTACACTCATCATTGGCATAGTTGTGAAACCACCTAGGCGCAAGCTTGTGGGGTTTTTGCATGTCGAGGCGAGGCGTATTGATGGCACTAAGGCTCTGGGCCTTGGCTGAAGCGCTGTATGGGCCTAGGCGCGTCTTATAAAGATTTCTACAAAACCAGTCAAACAAACCCTAATGTTAAATAGCTTCTTGTCTCTTAGACTTCTACAAAAAAGAGAGTTATTAAATAAGTCAAAACCTAATGTTAATTAACTTTTATAATCTACTAGACTTCTACAAAAAGAAGTTGTTAGATAAGTCCTAATATTAAATAGGTCTATCAAATTCTCATATCCTAGAACTTCAAGGCTCCCAATAAATACATCCCATACCTTATACTTCTCCCTCACGGATTTAAACCCAAAACTTCTTCCTCAGGGCTTTTCTCTCTTCTGGTTGCTACATTGGAGACTGGTGCTTGCTGCATTGTAGGCTTATACTAGTCAAGAATTTATTGAGATATGTTTGATACTACTACTTTTTTGGAAATTGAAATTGAACTATGTTTTATAGAATGCTATTTGAGTTGTGTATAACTATGTGTGTATGTATATATGTGTATATATATTATTTTTTATAAGATGTGCCTCACATTTCTGATGGCCCACGTCTCACCCCTGTGCCTTGCGCATAGGCTCCAGGACCCCTTTGTGCCTTGAACTTTTAAAAACTTTGATTACTGGTGCATTCACCAGTTTCTTATGAGAAGTATTTGATTTCTATGATATGATGTATGCATCAAGAGCTCGTGAACTAGTTCCTGTTACTTTTACTTCTAGAATATAGTATTCAATCGGTTTAAACCAAAAGCTACATATATTCGAAAAGAATTAAAACTAGACACAACACCAAGAAAATGAGTGAACTAAGGCGACAATAGTTCCAAATGCAGACAAGCCTTAAATCGGATGAAATAAATTCAAAAAAGTGAAAATTTGAGAGCAATTTGAAGATTTGAGTGTTTTTGAGAGTTTGTGAAAAAAAAAAACGTACATAAACCTTCTATTTATGCATGGTTTGGGGGGAAATAGTATAAAAATATACAAAAGAGAAAAAAAGGTCATGTAACCCTTTGTGGGGGGGGGGGGGGGAAGTAAAAAAAAGTCAAAATGGCCGTTAATGGCATTTTGGTAATTTCTGAAAATTTTAAAAAACTGGTCCTGGTATCCTCTCCAATTGGTCTGGTCCCTTAACCGGTCCGTCGTCCAAAATCCATAACCGACTTCAGGCCCATTTGAAACTCTTTATGCTTGAGTATCAGTTTCGTTGGTAGAAATGCTACATAATTTATCAGGACCGGTTCTTCTGTGCCTGTTCTTTCCTTCGGCTATATGATCATCAGAACATCTTCTTACTGTCAACAGCATGTCCTTTGACCAGGAAAAGAATCGAATCAACAAAGATGGCGAACTTGTGATTTCTTCAACAAAGACCAGAACACAGAAGTTAAATTCTGTCTACTGCACTTTCACCTTATATGTTTTTATATTGTTCATAAACCAAAGGTTACATGCTTAAAACATGTTTCTTCTTCAGGGGTAATATTCAGGATGCATTGGAAAAACTTCAGGTATTATTACTTGCAATCTTCCTATATAAAATTTTTTTTGTTTTAATCAAACAAATATATAGGAAATCATTGATGCTGCATGTTACGTCCCACCACCCCCGTCGGAAGAACAAGTAAAGAAAATTACCAAACTGTAGGTCCTCACCAAATGCGCCCTTTTTTTCTTGTCGTTTTCTTCTTTCTCCCTTTCTTTAATGTTCATGGTACCATGGACTTCGAGTTTTACTGTTTCCTGTTTTGCCCTACAGAGCTGCCATATCAGAATCGAGAAGGCTGCAGGGCAAGAAGGTCCTTTCACAAAAGAAAGCATTCAGAAGAAGCCGAGACAGTTATGACTAAATACCCAGAAAAGCTCAATTTCGACCTGCATAGATTACGTAAGATTACATCAACATGTTTTTGTCCCAATAACTGCTCCCATTAATCACTTATTGGCACACAACTTTAAGAGCTTCTTGGTCCGTCTAATTGAAATCTCTTTTTTCATTTTTTTTGCATAAGTTAGGCCTGTCTTGGAATTGAAATCACTTATTAGGGGTCGCTTACCCGTTTAGCGTTTACCAGGTAAATTGTTGCATACAATGATGTTTTGATGGACAACAAGCTTGCCTGGTAAGGTTAGTGAGAGTGTTGACTCTTACCAGGTAAACGTTTGGGTAAACGGCCCCTTGCTCTCCATTCAGCACTTTTCCCTGTATCTATACATTTTACATTACTTCCTTCAGGATGCACAGTGCTTGTGGAAGATGCGTCTTCCACATGCAATAAGAATACCTCCTGTTCCTATATATCCTTGCTTTTTGCACTTGGGTTGTTTACCGAGCGCTTACCGGCAAAAGAAATCACTCTCACGTACCTTGTCGTGTAACATTCTCGGCCATCAAAATCGATTGTTGGTAAGCGTCTTCAACCTGGTAAACGCTTACCGAGTAAGAGTCTTTTCCCTCACTTCCCTGGTAAGATTCTCGGTCCTTGCTATGCCTCTGATAAGGTAAGATTCTCAGTCCTTGTCATGCTCAATCGGTAAGGTAAGTGATATGAGTAAGCGCTTACCTGATAAGCATCAAGTAAAGGGCCCCTAATACTTACGGAACCTTGTGTTATGTTTATTGTTTTCTAGTCTTGTCTCTTTACCTTCCAAAACCTTTATCGAAAAAGCTAGGGGTCCCACACCTAATGTGCGTTATGTAACTATTAAATTGTTACAGGCGGGCAAGGTTTGAAACCTATCGTCATAGGTTTTACGTCATAGGGGCCACATCTGCTGCTAAAGTTTGCTCCATTCATCTCGAGGGTGTCCTTCACAGATCCTATGGACTAGTTTAGTCAAAGGTACCAACCAAATACACGGGCTAAAACTTTGTGAATTAAGCGAAATATCCATTTAAAAGAGCTTGTTAAGGTAAAAGCTATAAACAACTTAAGTGAATGAACGAACGAACGTGTTACTTTAAACTTGCCGTCAAGTAAAACTTTGAAGTGTATTATATTATATACAGCAAAATTCGCATACATTCCTTACCTTTTGGTGAGACTTAGAACATGTTGGAGCATACTAATAACCCTGATAATGTCTTATTGACTTCAATAAAAGTGGTATATTTGGTGGCATGGCTATTTCTATCCTTTTAGGCGATTCTTGGTGGTTGCTACCCATTTCTTGAGCGGTCGCTGCCTGCATTACTCTTTCTCCTTCTTCTCAAGGAAGTGAGATAAATACCATAGGCAGAAACACATAATAAATCAAACCAAATAGACCTAGTAAATCTTACATTAACGTAGAGTTTGTTGTGTTTTTATTAAGCTTCCCTTTGGGTTTTTAAAGGCTATAGGGAAGAATACCAAATTAAATCTCGTGTAACGTTATGTTCAAAGTGGTGTTGATATTCGATCGACCAATGGAGTGTTCATCTATGAGGAATGAGGCGAACGGGAAGACCATTGCTTAGGGTGGAGGAAACATGGAACATTATCTTTTCATCCGGCATCAATTTTTCCAACCTAATTTGGTCACAACATTAGGTATGAACATGAGTACTTCTAACCGCGCATACTCTTTTCCTGGACACATCCGCGGTCCACTCCAAAAGGAATGAATGTGTATGGAACGGGCCGCCCACTTCCTTCAAATCTCGTGGAATCAAACTTTTCGGGATCCGGGAAATACTTGGGACTATTGTGCATCGTATGTACTGTCCAAAATGTCTGCACAAGAGTAAAAGCATCGTACTTGTTTATGATATATAAAATAAAAAATACTAAATTACTAACCTTCCATCCGTTTGGAATGGTGAAATCAGCGTAAGTAAAATCAGCTACAACCTCTCGAAAAGAGCCGCAGGTGGTATAAGCCTAAGTGCCTCTCAGAGTCTCAGGCCATATTCCACGAGTATTTCGTCTTTTCTATATCCTCCTAACTTAGCAATTCACCTGGACCTTTCTAATTCGCTATCGACATTTGTTCTATATTCAACCATTCAAACCCAAAATTGTCTTAAAATTTCAAATTCTGATGCACAAAACAAACAAAGTTAAGGCAAAAAGCCAAAAATCCATATATGTTTTGATAAATTAGTTATAAGTTAACTGTTAGTTGATAAACTAGTTGTTAAGCTAGATTGCAATGTAATATAACCTAAAAAAATATGTTATAAAAATTAGTGGAAAAATATAAAGACCATAAGGGGAAGGGAAAAGAATGTAGAAAAAAAGCCCCTCAAGTTTATTGAAACTTGATTGAAGTAGTTTTTTAAAAAGTTAGCTTATGATTAATCAAACAAGGCTTTTTCAATAAATTCAAAAAATAAGCTAGTATGTAGTTGTTAAGCATTGCCAAATGCATTGTTTATAGGATTTGAGAGGATTACCGTCTAAAACTTTGTTATAGACATCGGGAAGTTCCGCAAGGTATTTCAAGACGAAGGTAACGGTGCTACTTGTGGTTTCGTAGCTTGCAGCGATCAATCTGATGATGCTATCAGAGATTTCCATATCGTTCATAAACTCACCATTTCGTTGTCATAAGTAGCATTTGGGACAACAAATCTCCTCCGGATGTATGTTCGGTCTATGTTAGTTTCTTCTTCCTTACCGCAATATGCAGTGCTGGGGAAATTTACCGGCGTAAACAACATCCCGTTAGTGATGAGCTTGAAGTGGTTCGCCAACCTCTCGACATGTTAGGGTCATCAACGCTCATGAAGAGTTTGCACGCTAACGCAAAAGTATACTTCTTTGAAAGAGGGAAGATCCTGACTTCCTCTTGTGGCGCCCAGTCACTTTCCAAGTGACCGCACGCCATAAATCCATTTCGGAGATGTAGCGCTTTACAGCTTCGGGTTTTAGGATATCATGAATGAAGTTACGTTGGAGTGACGTGACTTCTTTCACCTGATTATTTTCAAATTCTGGGAAAAGCAAGGACATTTTAGTCTTTTCCTATTTTCTCTCATAATTCTTTCAAAAAAAATAAACATAAGCAATGACAAGAAGACCTCTCTTCCCTTCACTCCCGAGTCCCGCCCCCTCCCCTTTCCGGTACCCATCGGCTGCAACGCGACTGGTCATCTCCTCCGGCTGCCATCGCCCATCGCCATCCACCACCAAATCGAAAACAACCAACCACGCTTCATAGAAAAAATAACCAAAAAGATGGTGCTTGTGGAAGTAGTAAGATTGGGTTTTCTCAAACACCTTCAACCCGATCCATGTGTGCCACTACACATTCTAGCCTTTGTAGCATAACATTCAGCAAGGAAAGTCGAAAGAAATCATACCATAACGTTCAAACTTCGATTTCCAGCAACAAAAAATACACTCGAAACGTTTGCGTAACCAACAAGATAAAATGAAATGGTTGTATAGAAACAATAACCAAAAAATATTTTACAAACAAAAAAGTTGGCATTTACACAAACAATCGAAACTCATCTTTGATGTACAAAGTTAACAAGCTAACAGGAAGTTGATAATAAAGAACGAAAAACTTGAGCATGAAATGCTGAAAACTTGTGGCCAGAACGACTTCGTTTTTCTCAAAGAATGCTTTTAGTAGGAGAGGTGGAAGAGAGTCATCACCGAGCGGCTGGTTGTCTGGATTTTGAGAATCGTTACTTTCTGGATCAAGAGGAGGCTGACCCTCATTGCTGGAAGGGCCATCAGGGTTTGAAGCATCATCAGTTTTTTCTTGATCATCTTTTGGTTCGCCAGAGCCACCAGCACCACCACCACTGCCGCCATCAGCACCATCGCCAGCCTTTGGGATTCCTGGAACCAGGTCTTCACGAGCTTCTACACCAACCCGTCTCAGGTGCAACTGCCACCATGTTGAATTACAACTTAAGATAGACCTTTTGTTTAGCATGAGTTTTAATTTCCGTCACCATATCTCAACAGCACAAAATGGAGAATGGAGATAATGATATAAAACATGGGTCGGGTTCCGGTGAGAATGGAAGTTATGGTGAGAAGGGTAAGAAAGGATAACGACCCTTGGATCAATCCTAATAGATCAACACTAATGAGATGCACCGAGATGCACTGGATCAATTCCTGTATCGAGCACAATTCATTGGGTGGAGGTGAGATTAAAAGTGATCAAGGGACCAGATTCCTTCTTATGCTTCTCACCTTAACTCCTATTCTCACACGATCCTTTGTCTATAAAACATATATACCTGATCTCAAATGCACATTAAAGACAAATAAATGACCTAAATGATATGAAAATATTACCTTAAGATGGAGATTAATTTCATCCGGGCGTGAAAGAAATGGAAAATCACCGCCACTCTTAATGTATGCTCGTCTTGCACCAGGATACCTTTCGCTTACATGATCTTTGAGTTGCTGAGGTATTGCACATTTGTCGTTTGTCTTTAACAAGAAAAAACACAGATACCATTGAAATCAGTCCATAAAGTACTTTAAGACGATTGAAATCAGAATATGACAGAAGAACATGTAAAAAATACCCATTGGATTCTATCTGTAAATTATTATGAGCATTTCTTCTTTAGTAAGATGTGGTATAGTAATGTTGTTCTAATGCACAAACAAAACAAGAACATAGATGTGTATCCTCATGAGTAGTCAAGATATATATACACACACACAAAAACATATAGGGGGAGGTTCACGCGAAAACCCCCAAAAAAATGAAAAACTGAGGAACACCCTAGTGACCATTCATCTGTAAGGTATGCACATGTGCATGACATGTAATTGAAGATGTGTCCTGGTTTCTATGCACATGTGCATGTTATGCACATGTGCATGTTATGCACCTGTGCATACCTTACAGATGAACGGTTACTAGATTGTTACTCAGTTTTTCATTCTTTTACGATTTTCCCCTAAACCTGACCAGATATATATGGGCCAGTTCAAATAATTAGGCTAAATATCGTGAGGTAAGAAGGACATGTTGAGGGAAGGTTCCTATGTGAATAATTGAAAAAATCTATTTGAAGATGTATATATGAATAAACGTTATAGATTATTCATATGGGTCTACATATGCCTCTTCAAATGGATTTTTTCAATGATTTACATATGAATCTTCCCTTAAACTTCTCTTCTTATCTTCTCAGTTCTCACGATATTTGGCCTTCTTATTTGAACCTCTCACTACATATATATATATATATATATATAGAGAGAGAGAGAGAGAGAGAGCCTCAATCATTTGTTAACCACTTAAATAGTGTTAACTATAAAAACCTATATTAGGGGTAGTTTTGTACTTCTTTTTCTTTTCATTTCATTATTTTTATCAGGCGGTTACCTAATCATATCCCTATTTTGACACACACACACACACACACACATTGAGAGAGGGAGAGAATTGCAATGCGAGAAAGATAAGGATATTATTAGGTGGATACCTAATATATCCGCAAGTAGTTTTCACTTCACGTCATTTTCATATGTGAAACTAATCTACAAAAGTTCATCCATATTATGTGTGATGCACTAAGACATGATAATCATAGGTGAACATCAGAAATATGCTACTTGGGAAAAGCTCAAGTGAAGGTGTTCATTTGTGAATTAGTATGTATACACATAATTTCATAAGTGAACAACTATACACATAATTTCATGAGCGAACATCGGAAAAAAAAATAATACACATAATTTCAATCAGAAACTGCAAATAATGTTCTTGTCCAAAAATACCCTTCGTTCACTTATGATTTCAAATATGGACACGCGTTTCATTACCCAATATTACATTGCCACTAATTCCATCTAATCCATCCAATTTTCATGGATGAGATTGGTTAACAAAGTTTTTACTAAATGTGTGGTTAACAAATGAAGGGGACTATATATATATATTAACAAATGCATGTGAGTTTTGGGAGCATACATCCATTATAGTGATGAAAGAGTCTGAAAGCATTAGTGGTCCAACTGAAGCAGCATCACTTAATAAGGTCAACCTGGAAGCCAAATCCTCTCTTGAGAGGGTCTCAACCTGCATGTTTTCCACTTATCAGCTCAGGTGAAAGTTAAAACACTAGATTGCCTACACCCTTTTGCCAAATCCCCATATTGGGTGCTTCGATTGATGAAAATTCACAATTGAAATTTATTCATTAAGGGTAAGAATCTAATGTGAAACTTGCATCTTATGCCTGCAAGAGAGGAAAAAAAAGGCAAAAAAGATGCAAAAAATTTCATTGATAGCTTAAATTAACATGGAGGTAGTAGTTAAAGTCTTAAACATAGAAGATGGATAGAAGTTAATCTTAAATATGTGTTTGATATATATACATGTATATGTATATATATAGAGAGAGGGAGAGGGAGGCTCAAACGAGAACAGTAACGAAATAAGAGAACACGAAAACATCCAAATCACATACAAAATCATGTGATTTTACACTAACAATCAACGGAACGGTGTGCGGCGACGTGCGTGAATCACATGTGATTCGACTGTTTTCTTATTCTCTTATTTGGTTAATGTTCTTGTATGAACATGACTCTCTCCCTCTATGTGTGTGTGTGTGTATATATATTTTCTATGAATATAAAACAATTTCTTTCTTCTATCGCTTTGGTTTTAGACATAAGTTATCCTGAAATTTTCAGAATGGGCGAATCCTACTAGCCATGCATCAGGTATCGGTATCCCAGCATCCATGAAATGTAGATTTTAATGTGTGTGCTTATAAATATGGCTCTACTATCAAGGGGAAAGACAAAACTGCAAACAGAGAAACATAAGGACAAAATACCATCCCTTTGTCCATTTCACTTGACATTACAAGTCACCTCCTATATGTATCAAAATTTTAGCGATTTTCTGCCAAATCAAAGGTATAGGTTCTAAAGCCATTTTGCAGCTACAAGCTATTAATTAGTAAATTAAAATTTCACCTGTGCGACAACGAAGTCCACAGAATCCGCAATAAATGGTTCATGAGGACCACTAGGTATTCCTGTTAAGACATATCGTTTCAGCAGAAAAGAAGGGGTCCAGCCAACACTGCAGGAGGAGCAGAGATAGAAACAAGTCAGTATTCCTTTTAAGCTTTAAACGCTTTTTAATTATCAATCCCTTAAGCTGGGTGAAGTGATAATGATTCAATTGAAAGAACCAATAGTTGCTAGGTTGGATCAGACCTCATTATTGGAAAATAAGAAAGACTCAAATGATCAAATACAAGGGAACAAGGAAGATCAATCCAGCTAAAAAGCATTTTAATTTAATAAATTATATAGGTACATACACAGGAGCCCAAGGCATGGCAGCTGCAAAATATTTTGTCTCCAAGAACGCATTTGAGAGTACCAATGACTTAACTCGCCGTGGTCGGTGCTGAGCAAAAAGTAGTGCCAAGAATCCTCCCAGGGATGTGCCATAAAGATGTATCTGTTAGACAAAGACTGATCAGCCAATTAAGTTTCGTCATGATGAACACTCAATTAACAGATCACATTACAACAAGTGCATGATATAATTATAATAATCATAATAACAGTGGAAAAAACTATAAATTGCAGTCATGTGTGTGCCTTACTGCCAAATGCCAATACTTCAAGGCTCTTGCTTTTGCAGACAAAGACTACAGCCTGCAGTAGATCATTAAATTTTCAACAGCTCACAAATGCTGTAAAGTCAAGAGTAGTACTTTATCCTCGATCCATCTAATTTTAGTAAGATATGTCGGCTACCATTAAACTCTCAATACACATATTTTTATATTTAAATATAGAGTTTAACTTTCGATCAAAAAAGTTCATGAAGGACAAGCTTTACGTACATAGGTCGTTGTGTCACTTAAAGTGATACAATCTGATTCTTATAGCAGTAAAGATCAGACATTGGACACCACAATAACCAGGCAGAATTTCAGATTCAACATGAGACAGGTGAAAACTGATAAGCCAAATAGAATCATTTAATTAGTGAATGAAACGAAGGTACCAATTGTTCGGCTACTGTAATGTGTATCCGATACCCAAGTAGAATCAACGAAGTTCCACTTTATACAGGTTAGCGAATTTGGCAAAACAATGTACAATTGTGCAAAAATATATAGCATCTGTAAATGAGCTTGATATGGTAAAGGAACTGGTGTTCTCCAAAGTGGCCTCATGCTAGGACCTTAAATGCTGAGCTTCATTTGGTGCAAAGAGGCTATGAGTGATGAGTCAATATGGATAAATAATTTCTTGAGACTTGAGAGCCATGCTGCTTTATAACAATAAAAGCTCAAGCTCCAGTATTACTTTGTTAACTTATTTCAGACAAGAAGTCTATTGGAAAGACCGGATAAAGTGTGTCACATACACGAAAAAGCCACCCACTGCGTGAAGATGCTCTCCTCCTAACACAAGAAACAATCCATTGGATGCAATTGTGCTCTTGCTCTAGTCCATAGGTATCATCTGGTTTTTTCTAGCCAAAAGATCTTAATTGCCAAACAGTAGTATCTCCCTCAACTTATTATTCCTTCTTTCATTCAACGCCTAGCTACTCAACAACTATAACAATGATCTTCTAATGACAAACCTAATAGAAAATGAATTGAAGATAAAAGTTCTACAATTTCCACGCAATAGGAGGTGATCAACGCTCTCATGCTACCGTCTGCACAATATGAGTTGTCACCAGATCAAAAATTTACTTTCAATGAGACTCTGATACTCTAGTTGCCTCTCACACAAAGAAGCTACATCATCCCTGGCTCTAAATATGAGATGAATCTGTATAAGCTACTTGAACACGTACAAGAGAATGAGAAGAAAAATAAACCTAGAAATTGGATCAGCCTGTCTACTCAGCTTAATAGCATGTCTTAAAATTACTAAATAAAGATTTCTCTAAAAAAAAAGAATGTTACACTCTGCTATTTATCTGTATGTCTAAAATCATAAAATGAAGTCCCTTTCAAAAAGTAATTTTGTGAAAAGGGAATCAGATAATTAAATAAAGTGACTGGAAATCATACATGGTGGACATCAATAACATCCAAAAACTTCTCAAATGCTTGAACCCACTCCTGATTGTTCCATACGCAAGGAATATCAACAGAAATCACTCGATAACCCTGAGAAAGAAAAAGAAACAAGGAACATGGTACAATTCCATTATAAAACACTAAACCAAATTTTATCTCTCAAGCATCAAAAGCCTAAGCACTGCAGATATATATATATATACATACATATATATATGTATGTGTATATATATATATATATATTAAAAGGCAACAGGTCGAACAAATCTACTACTTTATAAAATCCATATACAAATGTTGGAGAAACAAAAAGAACATATGTTCATGGAGGGAAATAGTAATAGATTTCATTTGAATTACCATGCATACCTTACACTTTATTATATATACTTGAAATTCATTTTTTGTCAACCGTGATAGGTTGAGATAGTTAACAATGTTAAAGAAGTCCTCAATGGAAATGTAATAACTAGACCCTCACCTTCATGGAGAGTGCCATGATTTGTTTGTAGTAGACATCTGCTGTGCCAGCAGTGCCAGGAAGACATATCAGTGGAGGCACGACTTTAGGACCAAAGTCATAATATCTCCATTGCTTTGTGCCAATCTGCAAAACATATATCAAATCAATGCTTCTTGTTCTTGATCATTGGGCTTTGATGGGTCAATGTCACATTGCAACACAGGAACAATACAGACAATGAAAGTCCACCCAGTATTGTTATAAACTTCGGATCATATGATCCACTGACCAACTAGATTGGATTCTGATTAATAACTAGAAACATCACATCAGAACCATCTGAGTATCGACATGAACTCAAAATTGTGCCATTTTCCCCAGTATTTTGCAATCACATCAAATATTGCAAAATTTCAGACTAGAAAGTTCTAATATAATAGGAAAGACAACCCATTTGAAAGATGGTACTATTAGGGGATCAGCAGCAAATGTAGAAGAAACTTTTTTTTGCCAGATCACATCTCTAGGCATCTAGAGCATAACTAGTTAAGGGAATAACATGTTTAATAATATTCCACTTGCAAAGAACATCACTTGCCTTCAGTGCATTCCTTTTATGAGTAATGCTGGATAAGTTGTATAACTAGCAAAATATGATTTTTTTTTTCCCCTCTATTAATCAGTCAGGGGGAGCATATCATTCATGTCCATATATATTGTTCTTACATCAAATTATGATAAAACAATGAAAAATAAAGGCCAATGCAATGAACATCTGCCAAAATCAAAATCAGGGAAAACAGTAGAGTGAGATGTAATCTGCAGATATAATTGTAGAAATACTATAAAACAAGAACACACTCAACCTTGACCATGATAGCACTGTCTTCATAATCACACAAAATGGTATAAAAGGACAGGAAAAGCAAACAGGTCCACAGCACAGAGGATTGGTAGTCAGCTTTAGCCATCGATGATCCTCCTTAAAAGCCTAAACTTAACTTCCATTAGTTTAAGGTCGCCAAAGTTATATGTCAAGTCAGAACCTTATCTCGATTCAAGCAATAAGTGGAGTCGTTTTCAATAATCACTCATGTGCAGCCAACTACATGATTGATGGATACCAATCTTGAAGTAACCTAATACCAACATTTTTCTATTTATAACACCTGTTATAGAGTTTAATGTTTGAATTAATATACCAATTTAAAGGTGCAAAAAAGCCCATTTGATCTCAGAATTTTGAAGTATAGCCATTAGCGAATTAGGTTCACTGAGACAAAACATCGAACGATGGGATGCTCAAATCAAAACTGTAAATAGGGTTTTAACATAAAGAATCGAGAAACCAATATCCAAGTGATCCAGACGAATTGGGTACATCCGAATATGCATAATCAAGTAAAAGATAGCAAGAATAAATAAACAGAAAAACTCACGGGGATCTTATGGAGAGGGACCTGCGACTTGAAGTAGATGTAATCACCAGGCGCCGAAAACCCGCCTTTCATTGCTTAATTTGATGATGATCGTGAAAAGGGTTGCTAAATTTGGTGCCCATTAACAAAGATTCATGATATGAATTGTTGATTTGATCGTGGGAGGGTTGTGGTTTTGGTCACGATTGAGAGGAAGGAGAAGCTGAACCACGTGATGGGGTCCCTGACCCTGAATATGAATGTAAATAGAGCAGGCTGACAGAGAAGCGTTCAACCTAATTGCACCATTTCTTTTTAAATATTTATCCCTTCGGTCCGTACATCCAGGTGGCCCAGGGTTCACAAACCAATTAAACATACGTGTTTTTATAGAAGTATAACAGTAATGCTGCGAAATACATCTCGATTTTAATGTTTTGTATTTTTTGTCTCAATCGATATTATAATACGATTTTATATGGTTTTGAGAAAATGATAATGTTTTTATTTTTAAATTAGATATAAATATAAAAATATTATAAAGAATTGAAAAAAAAAATTATATTAATACTAAACTAATTATTTAGAATTTTTTTTTATATTTCTTTTATTATTATTTTTTTGTTTAATAATATATTTATTTATAAAGATAATAATTAAATATTTTTAATGATTATCTTAATTATATTTTAAAAAAATTATACTTAAAATGAGATGTTTATCTTCTCGATTATATTCATTTACAGTTAGTTACACGAATTCAAAACATAAAGTTTTAATAAGTTGTACTTACGCACAATTTACTTGTAATCTTGAATTTTAAGTAATATGCATCAATAAACAGTATTTCATGCATAAAAAATAATTTTTAAGAATTTTTGTCAAATATTTTATAATATAGTATATATATTTCATTTATTTTTTAAATCTTGGCTTTGTAAAATTGTAGTTGTTTACTTAAATTAAAAATCAAAATTTCTATAAAAAAAATTACATTTAATTTTAACATCCTTTTTATTTTAAAGATTATAAAATTAATCATATTATTAAAATATTCTAATAAAATTTCAAATAAATAGTATATAAAATAATACATGCTATTAACTCCATTTTTAGAAACAATAAAAAAAAATCTCCTAATAAGCAATTATTTTTGGAGAATATTTTCTAAATTTAGAGATGTTTTAATTTCTCTATCTTATTTTCATTGATTTAAAAAAAACTGAAGTATCTATTATAGCAAAAAAAAAATATAATCTAAAATCTTGAAGATCTCATTTATTTTCATTTTTGAGAATCTGATGTAGATGTTTTTATCAGTTTAGATCTAACGAGAAGAATGAATGTAATTGACATGGGAGCTTTGCTAAGCGTTTCAGTCGGTGGAGTGACTCTTGAACGAACTTCTAAAACGTGATTGGTGCCTATTGACAATTTAGGTCTTGTAGGTTATGGATGATCATTTTACTAGAAGTTTATAATCTATCCTTATGTTGTTCTTATTAAAGCATAGTGAGTACAGGACAAATGATTTGAAAGGAGACTTCACATTTATTAGATAGAGAAGATGACCAAGATTTCGTGATCCGTTACCAAAGTTATTTTAAGAATGTTTGGATCAAATCGGTATTATTCTTGAAAACAAAGATGAAAGAGAATGAAAAAAATAGATATTTTGGTTATTTTACTTTGTTATAAGAACAATTCTTTCAAATAAATGTATAGTACATTTAGCTTTAGGGGTTGTTGGTTTACCTTTTAATAGTTTCATTAAGAGACAACTTCTAAATTGTTATGAAGTGAATCTTGTTTGATAAAAAAAATTTGTCTCTTAATGATTCTAAAACCCTCCGAATGATTTTGCATCATGGGTCTTCCATAACCATTAAGCGCTCTATTTTCATTGTAAACAATTATTAAACAATTATATTTCATCTTGTACTATATCATAAGAGTCTTTTAATCATTCTGCATCAAACCCTTCAACAAATGACAAACAACCCCTTAGTGAATTGGATAGTAGCACATCTCGATCAGAATTTTTTTTATCGTTTTCAAAAAAACAAAAAAAAAAACAAGTATCATCTCTATTTCGTAATTGATCCTTCTATAGGTTTCCATTTTTTGAACTTTGTAATGCTTGTAAGAAATAGTTATATTTTGAATAATTATGTGAAACATTTTATATAAAAAAAATAATCGTTCTTTTTAATATTGAATTTTTTACAAACATTGTACTTGTAAAAACCGGGATAGTTCTTTCGCTAAAATTGTCTTCCATCGAGTTTTTTTAACCTTTGTGCTAATGTGACTTTAAAAACGAATTAAATCCCTGTAAGGCACTCCGTCAAGCTTATATCAAGCATCTATAAATATGACATTAAACTCGTCGTCATTAGGTTGATATAGAGTAGTTATCGTGAAAAATTGTATAACCATCGTGAGGATATGATTTTTGACTCGTAACTCGGATTTAGATGACCCTTTAAGGCGTTTGCCTTTTCGAGATCTACTAATGAAAAAGAATTGGGTGAATTCTTGTTCATACCCCTCCTACAGGGGTATGTGAGTGAGGAAGGGATATGAGTAGCAACCCCCAATTTTTGAGATACATGGAGTAGTTAAGTTATATTTCGTAGTTCCAGATGAAACAGACAAATGCAACGTAGAGTAGAAGATTGTGTACATCAGACATAACACAACAAATATGGTGTTTCAGGCTTGTGCTGAGCACAATGTCCTTAAAACAGTTTCATTCCCCGTAGTGCGACTATATCCCAGGATACAACGGACGAAAACAGAATGACGTTATGTTTCGGGCTCTACCTGTAGCAAAATGAGTTGCTCACTTCTCTCCCTCCCATTTTTAGTCCTTGACCATTTGTTACTCCCAATCGAGTTCTTCAAGGGTATTTGCGAGATCAAGAGCTAGGGACTCAAACTTTGTGGAGTGGAACTCAGTTTCTTCATCTGAATGAATTAAATCAAGAGGATTATTGCTTCTTTCAAATTTCAATTGATTGAAATGAAGATCATGTTGATTTAGCTTCAACACAAGTTTCACATTTATGAGTAGAGTCTATGTAGGAATATACTTCAATTTTATCAACCTAAATTTTCCGTTTTGCATAAATACCTTATTTTCAGTTCAGCTTCGTATTCGGATTTTGGACCAATTAGGTTTTGCACACCCCGATGGTCTAAAGTATATCCAACAGCTTCTCAAAAATGAAAAAAGAAAATGTGAATTTTGAGCAAATATTTCGTTCCAGTAGCTTTCCCAAAATTTATCTACAAAATAGAGAAAAGCAAGAGATCGAAGGGTTTTTTTCTCCAAATATAACAACAATATGAATTTTTAAAAATAAATATTTAAGGAAGGAAATAATATTTTAATATTATAATCATTCTCAGAAATATGTTGGAGATAAATGTAACTGTTTTTTAAAATTTTGACTTTTGATTTTCTATTCTAGAAATTTTTTAGGGAATATGTTTTTATTTAAAAAGTTCTCAAAAAAATCGAAACTTTTAATTTTTAGTCCCTGTGGTTTGTTGAAAATTTATATTTTTCGTCCTCATGATTTTGAAATTACAATCTTCATCCTTATAGTTTATAATTTATTACATTTTTTGTCTTTATGATTTAAAATCTATTGTTTTTTTTGTTTTTATGGTTTACGTTTCATTTCTATTTTAGTCCTTCATACTTAAAAGAAATGTTTTGAACTCAAGGACAAAAATAGAAATGAATTACACACTATAGGGATGAAAACCAAAATTTTAAAATTCCAGACACAATATCAGTAATTTTTAACAAATTACAGGAATGAAAAATCGTAATTTACTCTAATTTAATTTATTAATAAGTATTTGGGTTTTAGTGGATTTCAATTGGTCTCATCTTTTTGCATAGAAGAATTTTGGAAGGGATATTTTGGAAAATATTTGAAGGGTGAATGATATTTTTAATAATTCAATCTTAAAGCCTATTTTTCGTTATTTGAACATAGAAGCATATATTTTTGTATAAAGAGGGCCCCGTTAAGCATAGAAACTCAATTTTCCAAAATAAATAGAATTTTTTTAGAAATTTTAATTTTAAATTTTCTATTTTAACCAGAGAGACATTCTTCTGATTCAATCAATTTAGGTTTAACTAAAACCCATATAATAATCAATGTACGTTCTTCCGTTGATGTACGTTGTTTCAAAGGTAACTAGAAATAACAAAAGAGTATATCATGATACTATTTTTTTGGCTACCCTTTGGTTCAGGTTGAGAAATTAAAAGGGAAAATGATAGAAAATGAAAAATGAGACATTCACCTCAGTTTGACCTAAAATGAAAATTTAGACATCTAAAAGAATAAACTCATTATATTATATAAAACCAAACAAACTTCGTTTATTTTCAATCTTATTCGTTACCTCCAACTAAACACCTCTTAGAGGTACCACTTCAGAAAGCCACCACTTTATTTGATTACTACTTGAAATAATGAATACAAAAATACATACAAGTCAAGTCACTAAACAAACAATCTTCATCATCATCATCATCATCTTTAATAAGAACAACTAAGCTTTGATCATAAAGATTATAAATTGAAAATCCTCTTGTGGCCACGGAAGTTCAAATGCGGTGACTCTAACTCCAAGTTATCTGCAAAGCAGGTGGTCGCCATGGGTTAGTCGGCTCGCATAACAGACAGGTTGGATATCCAGGTTAATAAAAATAATTATTATAAATTGAAAAAGGGTTCATAAAGAAACCTGTCTCTCTTCATCACTTTCACCAAGAACTCTTCTTCTTAGCATCATAATAATCAAGATACCACTTCACAAACTTCTTCAACCCCATTTCCAAATCCATGGTAGGTTTATACCCGAGCTCCATTCGAGCCAAGCTTATATTCGCATGGGTTAATGGCACATCCCCATTTCTAGGCATCAAAACCACCTTCTTCTTAGCTTTCATCTTCAACAGCTTCTCCAATGTGCTCACTAACTTATGGACTGAAACAGGGGAAGTATTCCCCAAATTAATGATCCTAAATTCACCCTTCTTCTTACTGCTCTTATTTGCTGTATCTATGGCTGACAAACAACCCTTTACAATATCATCAATGTAGGTGAAATCCCTAGCAATTGTTCCATGATTTGGCCCTTCAAAGATCGAGATCTGTTTTTGATTCAAGATGTCTTTGGTGAAAAAGAAATAAGCCATGTCTGGCCTACCCCAAGGTCCATAAACAGTAAAAAATCGCAATCCAGTAATCGATAGACCATAAATATGATAGTAAGCATGGGCGATTTCTTCACCGGCCTTCTTTGTGGCGGCGTACAGGCTCGCCGGTTGATCAGTTCGGTCTTTTTCGGAGAAGGGTACTTTTGAATTCAGGCCGTAAACCGAACTAGAAGATGCCCAGACGATCGCCGGTTGTTCAATCGTCGATTTCACAACTTCTAGAAGGTTAACGAATCCGTCGATGTTGGATTTGATGTATGAATTAGGGTTTATCATGGCATACCTGACGCCGGCTTGCGCCGCAAGGTGGAGGACGTGAGTGAAGTGTACTAAGCCAAAGAGTCGCCGGAGCAAAACCTCGTCGTTGATGTCACCTTCGACGACGAACACACCGGCGCGATCCACGAGTTTCGATTTCCGTGATTGTTTTAGGGTAATGTCGTAGTAACGGTTGAAGTTATCGAGTCCAACCACGCCATCACCACGGCGTTTAAGGGCCACCGAAGCATGAGCGCCGATGAAACCCACCGCGCCGGTAACAAGGACGGTATGACCTGTGCAGGAACGGGGTTTAGCAGATAACTTGACTCGATTCTCCCAGGCTGGTCCGCCATAGGAAGAGGTGGTACGGAGGCCACGGCGGCGAGGGGAGGTGGTGGAAGTGGGAGATAGGAAGAAGAAGAAAAGGATGAAGGAGAGAAAGATGATCGGCCATAGTGTGAATTTAGGGAGACGGTGGTGGATGTAGTAGACCGATGATTTATCCGGTTTGAATTTTCCGGCCGTCGAGGGGATGTTATCGATGTGAGAGAGAATGGGCTTGAGTGGGATCATTTTTCTTACCCAGAAATTGAATGTTCGTAGGGTTTTAGGAAGAATTGATGAAAATTAGGGTTCTTGTAGGTTGTGATCCGTTTCTTGGTTACAGATGATGGAGGTGCACTGCATGTTATGAGGAAGAGGATTGAAATGAAAACGTTTCAAAAGATGTGCGTACTTCCCATTTATAGCAATGAATAAACATTTTTTTTTTAAAATAAATATTCTGCGGGTTTTTTTTTATTAATCTGGATATGCAACCTGCTATACGAGCCGACTAATTTTAGCGCGACCACATGCTTTACAGATAGTCCGGAGTCATTGCATTTGAATCTCTGTAGCCACAAGGGGATTTTTATTACTTCTTAGATTTGAACATGAGACCTCCTAGTACTTTTGATATTTGGAGCGAAGCTCAAACCAATCAGGCACCACTCTTGTGATTTATTTTACGGTTTTTTGTCCAAAATGTTTGTTAAATGGTAGGAATTAATGCAGTACAATTTTTTTTTTTGATTAACCTGGATATCTAATCCGTTATGCGAGCCGACTAATCTCATGACTATCACTTGCTTTGCGGATAGCTCGGAGTCACCGGTTTTTTTGAACATGGATGGCCACAAGAGGATTTTTATTTTTATTTGGATTTGAACGTAAAACCTTCAGACACTTTTGATCTTTGAAGCTCGAGTTTAAATCAATCAGACATCACCCTTATGGTTGTACAATTTTTAAACTATAGAGATGGAAAATAAAATTATTAACAAATCTTGGGGACGAAAATAATAATGTAATCTAAATACTATAACTTTTTTAATTAAATTATATTAAATTAAATATTTTATGTTTTTATATTAAAATGAAAAAGTTATTATCCTCCGTTATTTAATCACATAACACTTTTGGACAATTTCAGCCATTAAATTAATATAGAAAAATTATTGATAAACATTTTTTATTTGGTAAATGTTAATCGTGTAAAAGTTATTAATATTTAATCATGTAAGATTTTCGGGGTTTCTTCATGCTCGCTTGATAAGGCCGGTGTCATCATAGAAGATCTATATGTTTGATAATCGATCAATTATTTTATTAGCGTATATAAACCAAACCTGTAATTTATCTCTATTGTCTTTAAATAATATCATTTTTTTTGTTTAATATAAGGTTTCAATATAAATTCTTCTTCCATAAAAATGCGACATGTGATTTACACATAAACTATATAAAAATAAGAGTTCTCAGTGTATATATATATCAGTTTGTTTCGGTCCAGATAAGTTTTTTAGGGATCGTTTACTAAACATTTACGTGTTTACCGGTTTAATTACCTTACTAGATGAACATAATAATAATTGAAAAACTTACTCAGTAAGAGGAAAGACAATGATCGATAGTCTTACTGATAACTCTTATTTTTAAGAGTTATTTCCTTTTTATTTCCTCCTTTTTTGTTATTATTAAATACCCAATTTTTTTGTTTTTACTCTTTTACTCCAAAAAGTTTTAAAAAGATGATGAAACACAAAGGAAGAGGTATTATTCTAAAAACCTGTATTTTTCTGACAGCACTGCCCACTGTGGCACCACTGTGGGAAGTCTACCAGCCTTGTTACAACTTCTTGGGAAACGTCTAGCTTGAAGATTTCTCCATATATTTTCTCCAGCTGCTTATGAGCTGTCTTCTTTCTTCTATTTTATTTTCTTTTGTATTTTCTTAACTTTGTACTAATTACCCTTAGGTAATGATTGGGTGTACTATCATCCATTTCTCTCCCCTATATAAAGAGGCTTGGGGGAGTCATTTTGAGGTGTGCCCAACACCAATTTGAAGACACAATACTCTTTAGTGTGTCTCTCTTCTCTTTTCTTTTAGTATTATTATGTTTTTTTAATTAATGTCTTTAATTAATGTCTTTAATTTATGTCTTTAATTTCTAGTATTTTACTTCCTTGTACTTGTAATTTAGTTTTACATTAATGTAATTTATATTTCAGTATTATTTTACGTCTTTAATTACTTTTATTATGTCTAGCTAAATTATTTGTATGAGTGTGATATGAGTTTAACTTAGGATGTTTATATAATATTTGGATGTTTTTATCTTTTATCACTTCGTAACTTGGTCACTTAAGACGGTGCTTAAAATACGGATAAGATGATGACTTTGAAGTGTTAATATTAGATTTTAGACCCAGAGATGGGCGGATCTGAAATACGGCTTAAGTGATACACAATGAACTCGAGAGGGTCTTTGAATAATTACGTGGAAACGCGAATTTTGCATGCATTTAGCTAGGGGTTAAGCAATAGGTATTTTTATCACAAAGAGATTTGAGTAAAAATCACATTTCTTTTACTTTTTAGCTAGATCGGCAAGTTTCGAAGTCGTAAACTTAAAAACCTTATGGAATTTTATGAGGCCCGGTTATAAAAGTTCACTTTCGAGAGATCGGAGCTTTTATAAACAACTCGTACAAGTCTAACCATTTTATTGTTAATTTTATCTTAAGCAACACTTGCAACCATGTCCATCTTTTAATATTAGAAGTTTATTTCGTTAATTAGCTAGTCGGTCTTATTTCGGTCTTTTTATAAACAAAAATCTAACTTTATTTTACATCTCGAAACTTGTGCAAGAAGTTCATGAAAAATCTCTGAATCTCTACCTTCTATGTGGGAACGATCTCGGTACTTTGTACCACTTTATTACTTGCAAGCGATCATAGTGTCGGCGTGCTCTTGCACCGCCATTGTGGGGACATTCTGCCCACTAGGTGAGCACGAACGATCCCGATCCCGTCACTTAGCTGGTAAATAAGAGCAATAACTCTTACTCGATAAGGCTTTATCAGGCTATAAACGTTTACCATCAATATCGATGAGTTCCTTGAGTTTTTTTTTTATCAATATATTTCTGGGAACCTTTGTTCTCCCTAGACATTTCGGGTTTTCTCTTGCTTTTGGCATAGTGGGGGATCATACTTTTAATGACCAAGAATGTTACTCCATAAGGTAAATGAGAGTGATTATTCTTGCCAGTAAACACTTACCTGATAAACGTTTTGGTAAATCTTAATCTTGTACGTGAAAATATATACTTAATGTATTTGTTGCAATCATAAATTTTAATCTCATTTCGTTATTTTCCATCTTCACGAGTCATACAATTCAACAATAATCGAGACTTAGAGACCGTTTTTCTAAACACTTATTCTACAATAGTTTACCTGTGAAAGTTAACACTATCATTTACTTTACTGGGTAAGATTTTATTACATCAAAACGGTATCGTATGTAACAATTTAACTAAAAAACGTCGATCAGGTAAGAGTCGTCATTCTTACTTACCGAATAAGACTCTAGGTCTTTGCCATCGCTTTTACCAAGTAAGATTATGTGTCATTGTCGTGTACATCCACTAAGTTAAGTGATATGGTAAGTACTTTTTTTATATAAGCATTTGGTAAACGATATTTTAAACCACTTTTTAAAAGATAAATACATTAACAAATATATTTAAGAAAATTTTCCAAATTTTAATTATTTTTAACCTCAAGAATTCTTGGTTTTGAAATAAAGTGAGTGGATTTTCTTTAAGTACAAATGGATTAATTATTAACATAACATGCAAGCAAAGTAAGTTTTGGTAATTAATCAAGTTTAATGGATTTGTTGATTGTTAGGAACGTTATTAGTATGTGGTGTGACCACCAAGAAACTATGATTTTACGCTATACGAATTAATTATAACTGATACTGACTATTAATATATACTTAATTTTAAGGCTAATCAACATCACTCGAATAAATGGTTTTAAGTTTGATTTTATAGTTGTTCTAAATTCTTAAAAACGATGTTTGTTGGTATTTTGCTTGTATAAACTAATTGTGAACCTAGTACAATGCAGCCTAAAGCCGAGATTTGGAATCGTCAATCCAACTTCCTGTTTCGTTTTATTCTCAGTTCTTTTTGATTTTGTCTTGTATTGCTTTGTATGGTTTTGAATCGGAAATCAGTTGATACATAGATTCGAAGTTATTGTGGGGATTACAGAGAGTTTGAAAGAGTATCATAGGATTATGGGGTTTCCAAACTTATAACAGTTGTTGTTCTTAACATCTGGAGAATGGCTTACGCATTAGCGATTTGTACTTAATTCACTCTTAGTTTATAAACTCAACCTAAACCAATTTTTAAAGGATAAAATTAACAAGAAAAATCAACCCAGACCCATTTTTTTAAGAACGTATCAACAATAAAACCCATTATTTTTGTAACATCCCCAAAATAGGAGCTAAATTAAACCAGAAAGTCGATATAGAATAAGTGCCTATATAGATAAAAATCACCCAAAAAGGAGAAATTGAAAAACGTTTACAACCCAAATGAATAGAAGAGAAATAACAACATACTAATCTAAACTACTCTAAGTTCATATTATGAACGAGTGTCACTATCTTCATCAAAAGGACCTTGTCAAAATATAATGTCAACATATAAAAGCTAGTTCTCCCAAAAGGGCCTCTACCGGCATTAAATCACTTCGCTCAAGACTTCGGATCCTCACCACTATGAGAACCTGATAGATATGTCATTTTAAGAAAAAGTGTTAGGCTTGACGTCTAGTGAGATCAAATAGTTTATAAATGATATAAATAATCAATACGGTAAAAGTTTACGAGATTGATTTAAATCCCAAGTTCATATATTCCAAGTAATGCATGAAGCCCAAAAATACATATCAGGATGACGGGGGAGACCCGATTTCCATGGTTAGTGGTGGAACACAAAAGTAGGCCACAATTCCACGTTATAGAGTTACAATAAAGGTTGATGGCCAATGAGTTTAACCAACCGTGTTCATTAGCTCAAGGCCCCCGATGATCCCAATTATATCGCTAGAAATTACACCATATGGTCAGTGGCCGGTATTTGGCTCCAAGAGTTTGTACCATAGTGCTCCTGATGACCTAATGCCTATCTCCAGTTACAAAATGGAACAACCATCCCAAAACACATAAAATCGACTCATATGTCTATGGATCCATTTGCCTTATTCTTGTCACAATAAAAAGTGACCAACTATAATCATACATATAGTTCTCACCATTCAAATGTCCCTGTAAAACTCGTTTTAACATAAAATTTACCAAATAGAACAACATCATCATAATTTTCCAATAAAACCATTTTATTTTCTAATCTAATATCATATTCCTTATCTTTCACAAAAAATCATGAGTTAAAGATAACTTTGCTTCACAATCAAAAATACCATTTTTCCAAATTAGGGGTTTACTGTGGTGGACCAAAAACTAGAGGTGCTTGACAAAAGATGAAAGGGAAGTTGTGGCCAAAGACGGGAAATCAGTGGTGTAGATGTTGCGGAAAGCTATCTATTTGGACTCTTATATAAATATTTTAAATATATATATATATATATATATATATATATAGGGTATATTTCTTTTACAATCTTGTGTATTTGTACAACCCTTGCAACCCAATTAATTCAGATATTTATAGAAAAGATGAGAATTCATTATTTATTATGATTTGAATATTTATGGAATATGAATADAGTTCATTAATTATGATTAATACTTTATATTAGGAAACAATCAAAACTTCTATGAAATCACATATTCATCAAATGAAATGGACGGTTGAGATTGGGTTGTATTGGTTGCACAAATATCAAGGGTTGTATAATAACCAACCTCTATATATATATATATATATATAAAAGTAAAACCATGGTTACCATACATGTAATTATTTCGCTGGACGGACCCAATCCAAAATTTGCAATACAAGAACGAAATTTATAATTTACTCTTAATTAATCAAGTCGAATGTACCAAATACCAAGAAAAACATTACATAATAGGAGCATCTTTAGTTGACAAAAAAAACGGAACGATTTTGTTCGAATACAAGACAAATCTTGTGTTCAATTTCAACCACCGAGTCTCAGCCATATAAATGTCCTTATGTTGATGTCCTTAGAGGCAGGTCTCATGTACAACCGAGGTTGCCGGTAATCGACGTTTGTCCGAATAAGAGCATCTCCAACACAGTTGCTATAATATTTTTAAAAGAAAAAAATTGAAATTTCAAAAAGAGAATTACTTTCAACTTTCATGGAGTCCTTTTTTTAATTTTGAAAATTCTAGTGTAATTATAACAAGAGTAAATTACATTATTGGTCTCTGTAATTTTTTGGTTTTCCCTATTACGGTCTCTCAAACACGTTTATTACACTATATGTCCTTGTGGTATACAAAAACGCATGTTCTAAGTCTCTTCCTCTAACAAAATCTGTTAACCCGGTTAACTCAAAGGCGATTTTGGTCTTTTGCCTTTCTTTGTTTCTCTTTTTCTATTTGTTTTATTAGAATATATTATATTATATACATCTATACTACATATATAACCATTTAGACACTTATCTTAATTACAAACAACAAGGCACAAAGTACTGCCGTTTTATGCATAAATTTCAAAAAACTCTTAAGAACAAGTTATAAAACATAATGTACAAGCTTTTGATGCAAGGGTTTTAAAACCCAATATTGGAAGGTTTCAGACCCCCTTTCTTGTCACAGTCTCCCACATTTGTGTTTCAGATATAAATTCAAAATTCAAATTCAAAATTCAAAATTCAAAGCTTCAAAACGATGGATCATCTCCTATGCGTCTCTCCATTATTGCTCTCCTCCACCACAATTCAAAACCATGGATCATCTCTTTCAGGTTTGGTAAGGTCAGGTTGCTTACTTTCTTTTGCTTCTTCTCCCTTTTCCAGCTCTCACCTGTGCACCAAAACAGGTTTGGTAAGGTCAGAGCTTGCTTTCTTCCCATCCTGACCCCTTTGCACAAATGGACGATTTGAAAATCAATTTCGTGGCTCCCAAGACGACCTCATCTGTGAATATAACCAGGGTTTTGAAGTATTGAGGTTCAACAACAATTTCTCTGAGGTATTGATTTACGTTATATTATGATGTGAGAATTATTTGCAACTTTTTATATAATTCGATCTTTGCAAATACTCGGTTACTTGTATTTGCGAAAGTTGTTCCGTTCTGTAACCAATTGATTCAACAAGTGTATTTGGTAAACCCTAGATTTACGATTCACAAAATCACTTGTAATGATTCCCATGGGAGCTTGATCCTTATACAGTGATATCCTTCAACAAGTCTATTTGATTTATTTTTTGATACTGGTGATGATAATCTTAAGACTTGTTTCTCGCAGACATTCGCAATGGCCGCCTAAGAGCTTTCGCCTTAGCCAGGCTTGAGAGCTAAAATGTTGGTTTGCTCCTATCTTGGACGTCTGAAGTTTATTTAGAAATTTGTTTTGATATTGGGTTCTCAGTGATGATTTCATAGACGATATATCCATTCTATTCATCATGAAGACGAATCACGGCATTCAGGTAAGCCTTCATATTTGTATGCTGACATTCAGGTAAGCTACTATCTCCATTTTTTCTTCGTTGAAGACATTCAGGTAAGCTTTCATTATAGATCACATTTCCCTATCCATTTCGGGTTTTTGGTTTTATTTGAATTTAGGTTAGATTGAATTTGGTTTCCCTATCCTTTCATTTATGGATTTCACATGTTTTGTTAATTCCTTTAGGGGTCATTTATAGTGATTTGGAGAAGTATTTTAATGTAATCTACTAATGTATATACATCATAGAAAATAACTTGGTTTGTTCAAGATCTTACAGCAAAATCTGCTCCAAACCCATGTCAGGGAGTCTGCTTCAAGGGTTTCAACCCTTTAAAAAACAGCCTACTTCTTGTCTCCTTTCAAACAAATTATCTCCGTCACCAGAGCAAGAACCATTTCGGAGTTTTCATCACTTCATTACAGGTTTCTGAAATGGTGGCTGACAAGGGTAAGAAACCCGATATTGGAGAGAAAATCGTGGAGGACAATACTGAGCAAATCATGAGCTTGTTCTATCCATTGCAAAGTTGTCGGAGGTCCAAGATGAACTTGAAAAGGTACTTGTTGTTTTCTTGTGGCTTGTCAATTTTCATGTGGGTTTTCAAGAAACTCAAGTTTTGAAAAACATATGCAACATTCTTGCTAAATACTTAAACATACATGGCAATTCGTCTTCAATTTTGTATGAGCATTTTCATAAATTTGACACTTTTGAACTTAATTTTGTGTTTTAGTTAATCAATTGACTCCCACTATACTCCTGAGTTTTATATACTTGGGAGGATCCTTGATGCATAGGTTCTGTTTTTGCTATTTGCTTAATCTTTCTTGGTTTACTTTATTGTTGATTGCCCTTTACATGCTATGCCATAAAAAATTACTATGGATTTGCTTACTACCTCATTGGGCCAGAGTTCCTGGTTTGTTTGTTAATTTAATATAATGGGTTTGCTTACTGAAAAAGGATCTCAATTTGGGGGTTATATATTGTCCCCTGTTGTGCAAAACTGGAAGCACATATTATGTTATCATAGGTTGGCGAAACCGGTGCTGAAGGAACAATAAAAGTTGCCACGAAACGATTTTCATTCAACCATATGCATTGGTTCTTGTTCATTCAGCCATGGATTAAAGTGATTTGATTTCAAATAGTTGTTTACTTTTCAATTTTGATGCTCGGACCTGGAACAGATGTAATTTTGTATGCTGTTGGATTATATACGTTTTGAGATTTTGCTATTCCCAAAAGGAAAAAAATTGAAGAAGAATGTAGAGTCTTCATAATTATCTTCAAGCGTTTTTGTTAAGAATAATATATAATTTGGACATATATTCCTTCTTAATTATGCATTTTTTCAGTCTCATTTTTGCAATTTTTTGGTCTTTATTGGTAGTGCCTGTGGATTTAGATGATGTTATTCTCCCTAGCTATATTGTTTATGTTTTTGCATGATAATCTTTTCTTAATAGAGGGTTCCAATTTGTTTCTGTTTTTGCATATTTTTGTTATATTTGTATAGCTAATTGGAGGCTTGAGCTGAACACTTGGCGTATGAGTTGGATGTAATTGCATGGATGACAATGCCACAACTACGAATTGGAGCATGAAGATCAAAACTGCTTGGTGATCTTCATTCTGCCACTTAACCTGTTGATCAAGGGGACGTTGCTACACCAACTCAAAACAGAACTAGAAGGAAAGCTGGTGGTGGAAGGCGCAGGGGCGATGATGAAGCTATAGCAAAAGGAATTAAGGGGCCGTTTACCAAATACTTACCGGGTAAGTGCTTACCAGTAAATTTTAGCACTATTATTTACTTATCGGGTAAGATTTTAGTCCACCAAAACGATATCGCATGCAACAATTTATCCGGTGATCGCTTACCGTGGTAAGAGTCATCGTTCTCACTTACCGGGTAAGACTCTTGGTTCTTGTCTTGCTCTGACCGGATAAGATTCTTGGTCCTTACCATATTCATTCGGTTAGATAATGTGCCTTGGTAAACGCTTACCCGAGTAAGCATTTGGTAAATTTTAGCACTATTATTTACTTATCGGCCCCTAATGCGGCAATACCGATGAGGCCAACTRCCATCTTAGAGGTTGAGGTGCTAGGTTGATTTGGAACCAGAACCATCCTGTGATAAAGATGTTGCCATGTAGGGGGGAARTGCTGATGAAATAATGGAGCTGAAGAGAAAGGAAGCGCAACTATACTACCTGAGAGAGTATATTATTTCATTGAGATTCATTATTCCTTGATTGATTTTATTATTGGAAATTTTAACATCTGGTCATTATGAGTCTGGCATTTGCAAACAAGTAGACTTATTTAACATGTTTCCTTTGTATTATTCTTATTAGTGTTAATTTGTGTTCTTCCTATAAAAGACAAAATAACATGTGTATTGTTTTGATGCAGGTACAAATGGGTAATTCTCCTTCACATAAGCCAAAGAAACTCCACTACTTGATAACTACTTGTTTGTTCTACCATTTTATCATTTGAGGTTCTACTTTTATAGGTAGCATTAAAGTTTTAGCACCATTTTTACCCAATGCTTACCTGATAAGCGCTTAGCAGTAAGTCAATATTTTCACTTAGGGGCCGTTTACCAAACACTTACTTGGTAAGCGTTTACTAGGTAAATTTTAACACTATCATTTACTTACTTGGTAAGATTTTAGTCAATCAAAAATGTATCGTATGCAACAACTTACTCGGTATATACTTACCGTGGTAAGAGTCATCGCTTTCACTTACCGGGTAAGAGTCTTGGTCTTTGTCTCGCTCTTACCGGGTAAGATTCCTGGTCCTTATCATATTCATCTGGTAAAGTAATTTAACTTGTTCACTTATCCGAGTAAGTGTATGGTAAACGGCCCCTTAGCTTACCGTTAAGAATTAGTCTACTAAAACAACATTGGATCGAGTCTATTACAATAATTTTGGTCTTTTCAAACGATGGGCTATTTTATAAGAATATGGTTATGGTTAATGGAGCAATGAGAATTTTTATCAGGTGATCAAACAACCTTGTCTTAAACTAAGGATATGTATGGTTTGGAAATCATTTGCGATATAAGGTGCATGTGTCCAGGTTTTGATGGACGGTTTTGTAGCGAGAAAAGGTTGTCTTAGCAAAAATATATTAGTATAGAATAGCCGATGCCATCAAATCTTCTGTGATGATAAGTTTCTCAATTTAATTTGATTGGTCTATGCTTCTCATTGTGTTCACTTTGAAAAAAGATRTACTCGAATTTTATCTGTTTGGTTGCGTTTTGTTTCTATTGGTCTGCTGCAAAAAAAAACGTTGTTGTGCTATTAGATTAGCACCCGTGTTGGTTGATAAACAAAACATATATTAGCATCAATGTACACATATTTTTTGTATTGATTTTAGAATTGTTTGTTTGTGTCATACATCACCAAGTTGAAGGGATTGAAGAGATCTTGAAACCTTCACCGTCTGAAAGTGATGGATCATCAATTGAATTGCCGGCAAAAGGTGAAGAAAACAAAAGCAGAAACTGTGCCAGCAACAAAAAGCAGGACGACTGGTCGTGGAGTAAGGAGGCAATTGGCGAGGTTAATGAATTGAAACACTGATGGTTTCCAGCACCAGAAAGAAGGCCCCGACTACTTGCTGCAATGTGGGGAGTCAACTGAATGAGTGTGAAGAAATCGCAAAAAACGACTGTTTGTTGGAACATAGACGAAGTGCATCCCAAATATACTGTAGCAGTTGCAATATATAGCCGAAGGAAAGGGACTACAACATGAAATCAAGACACTGTTAAAAAGGAGACTACTGTTCAGAAAGTGTACAACACAAGAAGATCAACAAGGTTAACTGCAAAGAAATCTGCAGAGCCAAGTGCGATGGAGAGGGAAAGGAGTGAATCTATGAAGATTGATTCGTTTTTGGATCAGAAGAGGATTTGGGTCAACCCGTTCAAGAGAAAAGTGTGGGCTTAGGTATGTGTTTGACACTACTAACAGGTTTATATTTTTAACATATAAGCTGGCTGTTTTGTTATGCACATTTTTTAATTTGTACCAGGGTAGATATATATTTGAGGAAGCATATCTGGATGTGATTTAATTTTGGATTTAGGTTTTTGGTTTTATAGAAGACTTGCGAGTTATAGCAATGATATTGGGATGTCAAAGGGCGTTTTAGCCATTATATGTTTTTTTGTGTATATCTCCTTTTCTTTGAGGCGGGTTAAGGGAAGGGGGAGATGATGATGGCATTTCCTTCCTTGTTTTGTTCTCTTCTTGTGATTTTGAATTGCAAGAGCTTTTTTTATGCCACCTTGTGTACTTTTTCAGTTTAATGTAATTTTTTTGTGCGTCTAAATAATAGAAAAAATCATTGTAACTTACAATCACACTCTTGGTGTTTTCATAGTTTCTTACAACATCCATTTATTTATGGAAGTGTTACTCTCTTTGGTAGGAAGATAAAAGTTATCCGAGTGGTAACGGTCTTACCTGGTAACTAGATAAATCTTACCCGATAAGTTAATGAAAGCGTTAACTCTCACCGGTAAGTTATTGTTGGGTAAGAGTTCGGTAAACGACTCCTTAAATTAGTTTTTTATTTAGTCTAACGAATAAACTTTTTTCTCAATTGATGAAAAAGTGTTTTAAGTTTTTTTTTTATATTGTACTTATTTTGATCGGTTGCCATGTGAAAGAGGGTACTTACTTGAAGAATTATGGTTATGTGATATAAAAAATGATGTCATTCTAAAGATACTAATGCCAGAAAACCAACTATGGGCTAAAAGAACATTAAAAAATCTCGATTCATTTCAATATGAACAACAATTTAACCAATTGGATTGACTGAACGGATCTTGTAGGATTCCCAAGAAATTCTATACTAGAAGTTTGTTTGGAATGCATGATAACTGCAGTGATAAACCCTTTGAAAATGTGCATCAACTGAAGGTGAGCATTAACAACACAAACAAATACACAGAGGAAGTGCATCGCAAATAGTTAAGAAAACATATTGATCATCCTATTTGATTTTTCATTTGAAGTGAACATTTATATTCATATGTCTTTTAACCTTTCAAGTTCTTTTAATATGAGGAATCTTAATTTCAAAGTAACTTTGCTCAAAGTAATTGGTTTATCATAATCTTTCGCAGTCCTAGGTACACAAAAGGTTGGCTTTTAACATCGAAAATATTTGTGGAAGGTTCTCCTCCAAATACAACCAAGGATAAATTTAGAAATTAAATATCTATATTAGAAGATCATTATGTTATAAGATCTCCTCTAACAAAACCACGAAAGCTTCAAAATTGTTTACATTCACGCCTCCTACAGTCCCGCCGCATTGCGCGGGTTCACAACTAGTATATATATATATATGTGTGTGAAATACACAGAGTCGTCACTCCTTTTTAACATCACCATAGACCACCACCTCCGGCTACCTCTCTTTTACTTTCTCTCTCTCCATCTACATTCTCTTACATGCATACAATTCACAATCATCTTTCCCACCAACATCATGAAACATATCTCTGGCCTCCTCCTTTTATCAACCTTTGTTTTAAGTGGCCGCACAAGAGAAGCCATGTGAAACATGACCCGCCTTCATCTCTTGTCCACCTCCATCTCCATTCTCGTACACACATAAAACCATAGTTATCTCCTTCGTCCCCTCCCAACTTGCTATCTTGTTCATCTATCCTTGAACCCACCTCCCTACCTCGTCCCAACATAAAAAAGCTTCAACCCACATCAAAATGAGATACAAAGAGAAATGGAGAAAATTTGCAGGTGGGGGATGAGTCTCGATGGGGAGCAGTGGCCATACTGTGGGTATTGGACGTCGATGGAAAGGTAAAGAAGGTGATTGTTGTGTTGGATTTGACCGGAGATGCAAGAGAGGCCGGATTTGGGTTGTATTTCACGGGGACAATGATACATACATATATATATACATATATATATATATATGTGTGTGTGTGTGTGTGTATTTTCTTTATTTGTATTTTAAAAAATTAATTTGAAATTTGGTTTTTGTTAGAAAAAAAAAAGCTATTAATTGCAAAAATGTAAAAAAGAATATTTTGCATTTTGAAAATAAACAATAATGATTAAAAATAATAACAAATATAATGATTTTTATGTGTTCATATTTTTCTAGTTTACTTAAAATCGCTCGTTTTTTGAAAAATTGTTATGCCTTTGTAGGTGTTTTTATGAAAAATATATGTTTCGCTGCAAAACAGATTCGTTTCCGTTTGCTAGTCATGTATGTGCCATCATCAAATTCACTTTTTTATACTATTTTAGGAATAGAGAAAAATTATTTAGCAAGTCTTTATTAGTTCTTTGGTTCTTTTCATCTTTCCCTCACGGTACTACTTCGTTATCGGTAATTTCACAGAGTCATTCAGTTTGAATGCCACGCTTAGCTTAGAGGTTAGAGCATCGCATTCTTTTAACCAATTTTTAGGGGGAGGAAATTATGTTCCTTCCATTTGAAGAAAGGAAGGATACCAAATAATCGAGCGTCCAGGGTCACGTACCGACCATAGAACCCTGTTTAATCCCGAAAATTTATATTTTTCCTTGAATGTGTCATGGAAAGATAGAATTACTGTGAGCGGTCTAAACTTCGACCCTTATTTCTTTCTACTTCATTTAATCAATGTTATTGCTAACTGTATTTTCAGATAAAGTTAATGCTTGTTGGTTATTTCCCCGCCTTCTTTCTTTCCATGGCAAGTTTTTGTGAAATAACATTTAATAATTCTCAACTTTTATTATATAAGTTGCAATAACCGATGAAGAGAATTGAAAGTGTAGACTTGACCAGATTGAGTCATCGAGAGTCTACTTATACCATCTCCAACCCAACATTAAAAACACAAAAATGAAGATGTTTTCATCTGCAACTTTACACTAAAACACTAAAAAAATGGAGATAAAAAATGTTGGCATCTATATTTGGAGGTCAATAAAGTAAAGCTTTATAATTAGATATTAATATTTATTCTCAATGTTTATTATATAGTTGTGTTAGAGATGCACTTAATGGTAGTTGTGACAACCGAGAGCGAGATAAACATGATTACATGTGCGAGGGAAAAGAAGGGAATTTTATGTAAATAATCATTTTATAAAATGTTTTTTACTTTCTAGGCATCTTAGAAACCCATTTCCTCAATTAGCCAAAAAGTTTACAAAAAAAAAACTTTACACATAAAATGATCTTCTGCGTAAAGTTGATATTCAGGTGGAAAAAAAAAAAAAAAATTAAAAAAAGAGTTTACGTAAAAAAAACTTTATGCAGAAAAATATTTTTTTACGTAAAGTTTATTTTCAGAGAAAAAAAAAAGTTAAAAAAAGATTTTACGAAAAAAAGGAGTTTATTCCCAAAAAAAATACTTTAGGCAGAAAATAGATTTTCTGCTTAAAGTATTTTTTTTTTTTTTTGTAAACTCCATTTTTTGATGTAAAGTTCAATTTTTAAATTTTTTTTCCCTTGGAAAAACTTTACATAAAAAATCTTTTTTTTTACATAATCTTTTTCACAAACTTTAGCTATTTTAGAAAAGAAATT